CTGTAAACTTCATATGTTTGACTTAATGTAAAATAATGTATAAAATTACTTTTTTGGGGGGGGGGGGGGCGGAACACGTACAGCAGGGGTCAACTGAACTGAACTGGAAATTTAGAAGGTGTTATATTAATTTATCTAAAACTGAAATCTTTTTTTGCTCATTTTTAATATGAGCCAGGCTGGATGTGACATTTGCACCACCTCTAACATGATCCTCAGGATTAAATTAACCAAAGCCTCAGTAAATTGAGGGAATCACTTAATTTGCATCCTGAACTTGAGCTGCTATTTGTATCACTCTAATTTTTTTCAAATTCACTGTGTCCTAAATTTAAATCTTACTCCACTAGGAAAGCTGAAGCTTATAATACATAACAGTTAATACAGCCATTTTATTTGCGGTTTTGCTGTTTAGTGTTTTCCCTTTAAGAGGCTTAAGAGGCTCAATGCAAACAGTCACAGTTCTGGCTGAGTATGCATCATACAAGTTATGATTATGAAATACATGCACACCAATTTCCTCCCCCTAATCCTTTCTGCATTTAGGCCCCATCCAGTGCACCAGCCAATCTGTTCAACAGTGCCTGTAGGAATACGAGAAAAGCTAATGTCTATTTACTACCCCTAATGATATTTCTGCTCCTTTTGCCACTTGTTTCACAATATAATCTTTGCCCTTATTTCACTGTAAAGCTCTTTGAAATGTGGCTCTTTACAAATAAAGTTTAGCATTAATGTTTTAACTATTTGTTAAATGTTGTTTTCCTTAAAGATTAATAAAAACCATTTAATCAAACACCAAACTATTATATATGATCCAACTTCCCATATATACTCTTAAACAGACACAGCCAATTTACAAGTCAGATCGCCCCCACAGATTAAGTAAAGTACCATGCTGAGTTACTTGAGTATTCCATGAGTTGACATTTCAAACAGCCAGGCATGGAGAACCTCTCGTCACCTAGGGACTGAAATGTGATTGCGTTAGCATGTAAAGCTAACATGTTTGTTTTGGTGACATTATCAATATTGTATAGATATATTGGGTTTAAATATGTTTAATTCTTCTGATTGTTTGAATGTACATATCAACTTTACACCTGAATATGTATTTTTTATTTGTTATATCACTAAAGTTTTATTAAAATTACCTTTGTATTGAATTAATAAGCTATAATTTAAAGGACATCTGTTAGTGTTGTCACTGTGAACACATTAGGATGCTAATGTTAGTACTTCATTCTGCTTGAACTGCTAAAAGCTTTCAACACTTAAATGGTTACTGTACATAGAGCAGAAACCTCAATGTTCATGTTGTTTTCCACTGCTGGTAAAAAATGTATTAGTGCAGAAAGTTAGCTGTAATCTAGCACAAACAGTGCAGGGTCAGACTTTGTTGACTGGCTCCAAAAGAAAGTTGGAAGCACACTCCCAACATCCCCACCTCATTAGTTCAGCAATTAACAGGGCATAGTTATGCTTCAGTGGGTTCTGACAATATATTTCCTTGTTTTGTTTTGTTGTTTTTGTGAGTAAAAAAATCTGTTACTGTAATTGCTGGTGTTGCAGTTTCAGAATTATTCTCACTTGTTCATATGTCACATCTGATCTTGCAGAAGCAGTGTGCCTGTGTCTCTGCCTCAGTTCAGGTGCATACAGTATGCAAATGCCTTCCTGAATAGCTAATTTTCTCTCCCATAGAAATGTAAAGAAACTCACTTGCAAATACAGAGAACCACACATATACACACAGACCCAGACACATGCAAATCATATTTGTTTGTTGTAAAATGAACACAAACTCTTTCACTTTGTTATCTATAAAAACACATATAGTCCTTTAAAGCGACAATATGTACCATTTTCATATTAAATTAACAGCTTCAAAATAATTTTGATGGCACACTGACTTGTAATAAGGTGAATGGTATCTCTGCAATGACCACTGTGTGCCCGGATCATCTCTTATTGCACTACGTAACTTTGGATCACCATCCAGGAGACCTTTTATGAGAACAGTTTAACAATTTACAGTGGTGGTCAGTCTATCCAAGTAATGCCAATATAGAAATTTCATTGTCAGCGATGTGATTACCCACTAGCGGGCCAAGCTAGCTCTCCTTAGCAGCCAGTTACACCCAGTTCAGGGCAGAGCAGTCTGTCAGCAAGGAGTCTGGTGTTCTAGTTGCACACTGAGAGTGGACTACTGCGTCCTCTCGTCCTAAGGATTTTGGACTTCAAGTTTATACCTACTAACTTACTATAATCTTATAATGCAATTATAAACAAGCTATGCAACATGCGATATCGGAGCAAGTGAGGAAGAGAAAAAGACAGCATGTGAATCACTGACTCTAAGTTTTCTAGTGAGAATGCGTTTTCTAGAGACGTGTCTTCAGTTTAGTATGAAACCTACTTTGTTTGAGGGTACAGAGAGTCTGTGAATTCTCCATGCACTATGTGATTCCACACCAGTAAGTACAAATATTTACTGTTGCCTTATATTCAAAGTACTGACATCTAGAATATCATTGTATGGATATTAAATGCCATTTTCTTCTTCTTACTACAACTAGTGGTTGGCAAAGCATTGTATAGGTACATTACCCCACCTACCACTTGGAGTGCTGTAGTTTAAAACAGTGCCATCTGATAGGGGTGAAAAAATAAAATACACACAGTTTGGTGTTCATGTGTTACAGATGAGAAAACAAGTCATGGAAACCTACATACAATACAGGAATAATGAGACTTATAATAACAGTAGAGCTGTACGCAGTGACTAAATCAGACAGAAAAGACTCATGAAACAGATAGATGCAAAATACACCGTGGTATACAAAGAGACAAAACAAAAGGGCTGGTAACCTCACAAAGAGACAGAAATCAGGTCAAAATAGGTGCTGAACCACCATTAAGTGATGAAAACATGCAAAATTAACATAAGACACTTAGTGACATGCTGGCCAGCTATAAGGTTACGGCTACATAATAAAGACCAAAAGTCGGCTGAATCAACCTCATTATGCAACACTGCATCATTAAAATAACCAAATGTCTTCAAATACCTCTATAAGGAAAAAACCTATCACTGTTTACACTGTTTCTATAACTGTCAATAAAAGTAAATGTTTCTTTTTTTCTTGGTGCTTCCACCTGACCACTTGTTTGACTTGCTCATAGGCATGGTGATATTATTATATTATATATTATATTCATTTGAATATAATATATTGGGAAGACCCAGGACATGCTTTAAGGACTATGTCTCTCGGCTGGCCTGGGAACTCCTCGGTATCCCCCCGGAGGAGCTGGAGGAAGTGTCTAGGGAGAGGGAAGTCTGGGCATCTCTGCTTAGACTGCTGCCCCCGCGACCCGGTTCCGGATAAGCGGAGGAAGATGGATGGATGGATATTCATTTGAGACAAAAAAGAACCATAGAATCAGTTAATTGCAAAATACATCATAGGTTAAAAAAGAGGCAGAACAAAGGGTCAAAGAGACACAGACAGGGAGAAATAGCTGTTGACTTGTCTTCAAGAGCTGGAGAATGTGAAAAATAATCACAAATCGGCTACAAACATGTGTTGTGGCAAAATGATCTATTAAAGATCAGTGAGTGTAAAATAAATATTTAACATCAACCCAGAGTTATTACATATTTATTCCTGCAGGAAGGAGCGATCTCAACTCAGAATATCCAGGCAGTCTGACAGGTATAATGGTAAGGGTACTGAAAGAAAAAAACGGTGTAACATCAGAATCAACGTTGAAAGAATGTAAAAGAAAACTGGGGTGGAATGTTGAAAAAGAACAGTGGTGGTTTGAGCAGTACTCTGATTGACCAGTCTATCACAGGGCTGACACTCAGAGACAAACAACCACACACAGCCACACTCACTCCTATTGAGAAATTTAGAGCCACTAATCGACCTAAGCTGCATGTTTTTGGACTGTGGGAGGAAGCCAGAGTACCCAGAGAGAACCCATGCAGGCACAAACTCCACACAGAAATGCTTGAACCCGGAACCTTCTTGCTGTGAGGTGACAGCGCTAATCACTGCCCACCATGCCATCCACAACGGTATATGTGCCGATGAAAAGAGATGAGTAACACTCTAAACAAAGTGAGTAATTGAGAAACCCCATATTTTAACTGGCATAATGCAGACATAACTCCTCCTGCCTTACAACAATTCTCTACAGAGACAACACATTAACAGGCATGCAACATGTGTGGGTTTTGTTTTAATTCACTGTTACATCCCATCAAATAGTGAAAACTTCATTCCATTTCAAATACCGGAGGGTGCAGTTTATGACTTATAAATTCAACTTTTCATTTGTAGCCTAATCAGGGACAAAGCACTGAACCATGAATCAATATATTAATGTGCTAATATAACAGTAATGTTAGCCCATACATCTCATTTTTTGTTACTAGACACTGTCAGCTGTATGGGACAGGCTACTGATGACCTTAGGGGACACGGACATAAAGTGTGCGGCTTGCAGCGGGACACGTCCCTGCTGTTTCTTTAGCTGCTGGACCATCAAGTTGCAGCATCCTGCGGGAGAAATACAGGAAGTCTTCAGAATAAAGGTGGCCTATACCCGAGTTCCATTTACATGTAATTACTGTAGATTGGCTATGGCCTACAAAACTGTGAAGCGACGTGGGTTAAAACTGACTAAAGTATTTTTTATTTTTGGGAAGGTAGTAAATGGGCATGCTGTATTATTTTGGCTGGCGAATATTTTCCAGTAATCTATCATTTATAAGGCATTTGTTTGTTTGTGATGCGTTTTGCTGAAAATAAAACAGATTTCTTTGCAAAACGCCTGTTTATCTCTGCGTCTCCAATTCAGCGGGGTTTTTAAACAAATGCTATTATTTTGAATGTTGTTCCCACGGCTTCCTGTTATCGTGCCCACCTTGACTTCCCCGGTAGTCAGTCCTTTATTTCCATAGAGCTGCTGACAGGTGAGTGAACCGACATGAATATACACAACAGTACTTCTAGCTGCACTGTATAGGCTCCTGGGGTCTCTATTCACAGCTTGAGTGCCCCCCCGTAACAAATCAAATTCCAGAAGCAGACTCCCCAGACTGGATTTACCCGGGGTGAAATCTTAATAGGTAGGACTGAGGTTCAACTATATTGACGCTTGTGTTTTAAACATCACCTTCGCTGTGTTTATTTTGTTCGCCTCTTCTGTAGAATGGACCTACTGCCTGACATCTGGAGGCAGGACTACTGGCTCCCTCCAGGTCACACCTGGAGAGACATGGAACAGCTGGCGGAGTCTGACCGACCAAAACCTCTGGACCTTCTCGTAGCTCTGCCCCTCGCACTGGGCTTTGTCGCCCTGCGCTACGTGTTTGAGAGGTACATTGATGTGTCTGACATATAATGGGCTTTGCAGGACGATATTGTCCTCTCTGCAAAGGAATGTGTGACAGTTAAACACTTTATCCTGCCTATTCTTCTTTTAAGAAACACAATCATTTGAGTTTTTTTTTTTAATCAAGCAGAATTTCCTGTTATGACCAAGCACCCAGTGTCTAGATGACAAAGGACACCATTCTAAGAGCTGTGGGGCACTGAGTAGGTGTTTTGGGAGAGCAGGCATTATCACCAAGAAAAAGCCTTTGGGGACTGACAGGAGGAAAGACATTTCTGTCTGAACTATGACTATTTTACAATATCTGTAGACAGTCCTGTTTGGATGTAATGCTTATTTCTCATTTGATCGTTAACTTGAACTTTACTTTCAAAATCTAATAAAAGAAGCCTGTTTATAAGGAAACCTGTGAGCAAAGAGTCCATAAACCTCAAACAAACATCACTTAAAAGGACATTATATTGATTTACATGCATTTCACAGGTTTACCCTGACCTTAACCTAAACCTAACCTTCCACTAAAGGTTGAACCTTAAACCAAGTTGTCACTCTAAAGTTTATTGATTTACATTTTGGGGGTTGCTTTTTTGTCCTTAAAAGGAAGTCGAGTCCCCACAATTACTGCGTTTCCACTATCGAAATTTAACCAGTGGTACACCCCAGACTTTTTAACCATCACCAAGCCTCCGGAGTTGAGGCGGACCATCCTGCTTTGTTTGTGAGGAGCGTTTCTCCACAAGTTTCAGTATGGCCCTATAATGGAAAAACCCCTATGGTGACTGTGTTAACAGATTGTTATATCACGTCAAGGTTATAATGTACACCCATGCACACACACTAACATTGTTTTATTTATTCAATCATCCCACTGTTACTGTTTGCTTTTCACTGACAGTTAAATACTTACTGCCTACAGTAAGTAACCACAGGCGGATGCCTTGACTAACCCCAGCTGGGGTTATATCATCATTTGTATAGGCTGTCTTTTTGTTCTCCTTCCCACTAGGTTTTTTGCCCCTCCCTTGGGCAGGTGTTTGGGGGTGAGGAATAGATTTCAAAAGACTGCTGCCCCCTGCCCGAAGCTGGAGTCATTTTACACCCAGCGGAGCAGACAGCCAACACAGGTTAGCCTGAAAAGGACTGTTTTCTGTGTAAGAGCAGAGAAATGACATGCATGTTATGATAGCAGCACATCCTGGAAACCACAGCTTTAGAAACTACGCAACCAACATGTACATGCTGTAAGTCATACACATTCATTATACTCTGAGTGTTTAATCAAGTAGAAACATTCACTACCTCTACCAGTCTCTCCCTTCTGTCACTTCCTTCTTTATGCATCTCTTCCCATTTCTCAAGTTTCTCTGTTACATTGTTGTTGCTGTTTCAGAGTGAAATTGTCAGTTTGATGTCGTTGTGCGGCAAAACTCAGAGGCAGATTGAAACTTGGTTCAGACTCCGCAGAAACCAAGACAGGCCGTGTCAAACCAAGAAGTTTGGTGAAGCAGCGTAAGTGCTCTCTCTCTCTCTCTCTACAACCCTTTCATTGTTCATGGGTGACTTCCTTCAAGAACACTTCCTTCACCCAGAATTGCTGCACACACCCTAAAATCAAACACGACTTTTTAAGACCTAAACACAGACAAAATAATATCATTCCCACAGTAGAACAAATGCTGATTTAACACAGGTGCATAACTATTTTTCATTCAAATAAAGTGATCAAATATCAAACAGATATGAACATGTATGCACAATACATAGGATAATGTGTTATATATCCTTTATAGCAAAAGCTTTTTTAGATGACAACTAGTGGTGTGACCACACAGTGTATGGGTGTGACAATAGAGTCAGGACAGCATGTGGAGCCTGTGGGTTTGGTAACTTGTAGGTCAAAGGACAATTATAATCACAGACACATTCTTATGAACATCTACATTACATACGTTACAGAAAATCCTACCTCAAGGCCGTTATATTGTTCATTTTATGTCAAACCTTTTCTAGAGAGGAGTTAATAAAATTTTGTGATCACTTCAGAGGCTGTGGTTTGTTTCTTGACAACCCACGTTTAAGACTTTTTAAGGATCCACAGGAATCCTGTCACCACCAGCTGCGAAATCCGCAGACTGAACTGAAGTTGATTGATTTTGCAAGACTGAAAAAAGAGAGAGGGCTTCATTGTAGACATGTTTATGTTTTTTAAAATGACTTTTGTTTCAGTGTTCAAAATTTCTGATCTCATATTTTATTTCTCAGTTGGAGGTTCTTTTTCTACCTCGTAGCCTTTGTGGCTGGATTGGCCTGCTTGATTGATGTGAGTTCAAAAAAGCTTTACAGTAATAATATAGAAGCAAAACACTACAACTGTTGCTAAAACATAACTTGTATTTAGTGAATCAAAGCTAATAAGTTACAGTTATTGGTGTCCTTTCTATTACTATAGGTGTCTTTATAAAATAGTCATCTTCTTTTCACTACAGAGACCCTGGTTCTGGGACCGCAGGGAGTGTTGGAGACAGTATCCAGAACAGGTGAAAGCACTACTTACATTGTTTGAGTAACAGGTTTCAGTGATGTCTTATGCAGAAGCTGTTAACTGTAACCTGATATGGATAGGGTTACTGAAACAGATCAAGTTTCTTTCAACAAGGATATGTAAAACAAACACAATATGGTCAGATGAATTAAAACGCTTCCTCATTCTTACCAAAGATAACAATGAAAAAATAACCTGTTTCATTTAGACTCAGTTCAGAGATATGATTAGGAACGGCACTGTTAAGAACAAATGAATGATCATATATTTTTATTTTTGCCACAGTTCCACCTTGCTCTTACTGTTTTCTTGTTGGCAAATTTTTGCTATGAAACCTGTGTTTTTATAGCTCTGTGTACTTTGATATTTAACTAATATGCTGTATTTGTTTAACTAAAACTTCATTTTAGGGCTGCAACTAAAGATTATTTTCATTATCATTTAATCCATGCATTATTTTCTTAATTAACTGACAAGCTGTGTGGTGTATTAAACTTTGGCCAGCCCAAAGGTATTCCATTTACATTCACAGAAGGCTTTAAAATTATTATGCATTCATATCTGAGATGCTATAACCAGTCTTGTATTTTATTTATTTGTTTGGCCTCTTTGATTAAAAATGATTTAAGGGATTAACTGATCTGTGGCCTATATTCTGACCTATCCATCCATGTGCCCTTTCCTAAACAAAGTGCTTTATCAAGAAACTTTAATGACACAGGTCTTAAATAATGTACAACTACAAAGTATAATTCCTAATCGGTACTTTGAGCTTTATTTAGGAAATGTCTCTGAACTCTCCATTGTTGGCTGGTAAAGTTCCATTTGTGTGCCACAAGTAAATGTTTGTGTTTTTAAATCACTTTTTATTGACTTATAAATTGCATTTCCCACACAGCCCATGGAGAGAGCTCATTACTGGTACTACATGCTGGAGCTGAGTTTCTATAACTCTCTCCTGCTCCGAATCTTTGTGGACATCAAGAGGAAGGTGAGGGCCTCAACATTTCATTTATTCATACTTCTAACACAGCTGTTTCCCCCCCAGTTCACAACACACAACACGTGCCCTTTAGACAAGTATGTAAGTGAAGGTGAGGAACATATTTTACATTTGATGGCTTGCACTAACTTCACTTCTGCTTCAAGTACAAACTACACTTAACACGTGGTTAATAAGTAACTTTAGAGCATGAATTTAAACTCTTTTGTGGAAATACGAAGGTCGATTTGTTTTAGTCTGTGTATATACTGTATATGTGTTTGCTTTGCTAGGATTTTAAAGAACAGGTGATCCACCATTTGGTCTGCATCCTTCTGCTCAGTTTCTCCTACAGTGCCAACTACATTCGCATAGGCACCTTGGTTATGCTGCTTCACGACTCCTCTGACATCCCACTAGAGGTAACTCACATACTGATTTAATGTTACATTCTGTCTGTCTAAATGTTGTAAACTGCAGTCACAGTAGGCTGTTTTAAACTGTTATTATCTAGTCTGAA